TGTCTCCAAGAGACTCATCTCACCAGAAAGGACACTCATAGACTCAAAAGTAAGAGGATGGAAAACAAATAGACAAACAGAACACAAAAGAAAGCAGGAGTCATGATCTTAATATCAGACAAAATACCCTTTAAGTTATCAAAAATTTAAAAAGATACAGAAGGTCACTACATAATGATAAAAGGTTCATTCCGTCAACAAGAAATATTTATCCTAAACATATATACACCCAACATAGGAGCACCAACTTTCATGAAGCAGCTTCTAGGTAAACAAACAAACAAAAAAGATACTGACTCTAATACTATCATATCTGGGGACACATAAATACCCTACCTAACAACCCTAGACAGATCATCAAGGTAAAAAAAAACAACAACAAGGAGATCTGGAAACTCAATGTGATGATTAACCAAATGGACTTAATAGATATCTACAGAACACTCCATCCAATAATCATGGAATATACATTCTGCTCATCACCACATGGAATGTACTCTAAGATCAACTACATCCTCAACCATAAATCAAGCATAAACAAATTCCATAAGACTGAAATTCTGCCATGCACCTTCTCACTTCATACTGGAATAAAAATAAATATCAAAACCAACAAAGTTCCCCCAAAACTCACAAAGACATGGACACTCAACAGCATGATGCTAAACAACTTCTGGGTCAACAAGGAAAGCAAAAAGAAATTAAAAGATTCCTGGAAACAAATGAAAATGAAGAAACATGTTATCAAAATCTCTGGGATGCCATGAGAGCAGTACTAAGAGAGGAATTCATATCTCTATGAACACACATGAAGAAAATGTAAAGATCATAAGTTAACAGCCTAACAAATCACCTAAGGAAGCTGGAAAGGCAAGACCACCAAAACCCTAACTTAAGCAGAAGTGTGAAAGGGAGCTGAAAAATAAAAAGGCAATAGTTAGGCCCAAGTGTGTAACCTTTCATCCAGTTAAAAGCTTCTTCTTGGAAACTGAAAGATACACCTGCTGGCTCTGCTTAATTGCTTAACTGGCTTCCTCTGCTTCTGTGAACCCCGCTGGCTGTGCTTGATTGGCTAGTATCTGGGCCAGCAGGATGCTGCGGTTTGACCCGCCTGAGAAACGCTCGGCCCACTTGGGAAACGCCAAAAAACTAAAACTTGGGGGGTTGTAGTTTTGGCCTACTTAAGACAACACCTTGCTGCAAGAGGGGCCATTGGTCTAAGACTTGCATGTCCAGCAAGAGCCCACCGATCGGCTAATAAACCTCTCAGTTGTTTTATGAAACTCTGTGTCCGTTACTGTTGATTAAGCGCTTGGACCCTACTTCAGAAGAATCCAGATCACGAAAATAAAAGCCAAAACTCAGGACACAGAAGAAAAAATATAATACAAAAAAAAAAAATCAATGAAACAAAAAGCTGGTTCTTTGAAAGAATAAACAAGACTGATAGACTTAACTAGACTGATCAAAAAAAAGAGAGAAAAGCCCAAATAAACACAATCATAATTTAAAAGTTTAAGTTAAACTGACCCCGAAGAAATACAAAAGATTGCCAGCGATTACTATGTACACTTGTATGGAAACAAACTTGAAATGGAGAACTTTCTACATCACACAACCTCCCCAGGTTGAAACAAGCAGAAATTGAGAACAATAACAACCCAAGAAATTGGCTATGTCATAAGAAAAACACCCCTGGACCAGATGGCTTTCCAGCAGAATTCTATACAACATACAAGCAGGAGCTGATACCAATTCTACTAAAAGTATGTCAGGCAATCGAGAAAGATGGAACTGTTCTCAAATCATTTTATGAAGCTAACATCACATTGATACCCAAACCAGGTAACGAGCCAACAGAGAAAGAGAGCTACTGGCCAATATCCTTGATGAACATAGATGCTAAAATTCTCAACAAGATTGTAGCAATCTGGATCCAACAACACATCTCAAATATCATCCACCATGTCCAAGTAGGCTTCATTCCTGGGATATGGGGCTGGTTCAACATCTGCAAGACCATAAACATAATTAAATATATTAACAGATGTAAAAACAAAAACCACATGATTGTATCATTAGATGTGGAAAAAAAATTTTTTTTTTTTCAGTGAAATGAGCAGAAGCCGTTTATTGGGAACAAACGTGAGTCTTATCCCAAATTTTCACATGTCAAATCACAAGACTTTCACGTGGGCACAAAGCCAGGTAGGTGAGGGGCGTCCCCCACCCACCAGGCATTTCCTTAGGAATGAGGAAGGGCAACCCCAATCAAATCACAAGAGTTTACATGGAAAAAATTTTTGATAAAATCCAGCATCCCTTAAGCTTGATAAAAATCCTTGGACATCTAGGCATAGAGGGAACACACCTCAAAATAGTAAGAGCAATCTATGAGAAAACCACAGTCAACATACTGCTAAATAGACAGAAATTGGAACCATTTCCCTTGAAAATTGGACAACACCCCTCCTATTCAACATTGTATTGGAAGTCCTGGCTAGAGCAATCAGACAAAAGAAAGAAATCAGGAGCATCCAAATAGAAAAAGAGGAAGTTAAGTTATCCCTCTTTGCAGATGACACGATTCTATACCTCAAAAACCCAAGAAAATTTGTCAAAAACCTCCTTGTACCGATAAAGGACTTTGGCAATGGTCAGGGTATAAAATAAAAGTGCAAAAGACAGTCACTCCTATACACCAACAATAAACAAACAGAAACCCAAATAAAAAGCACAATCCCATTCACAATAGCCACAAAAAAAAAGAAATACTTTGCCATCTTCCTAACCAGAGAAGTGAAAGACCTTTACAACAAAAACTACAAAACACCGCTGAAAGAAATCAAAGATGACATAAACAAATGGAAAAATATTCCATGCTCATGGATTGGAAGAACCAGCATTGTTAAGATCTCCATCCTACCCAAGAATCTACAGATTCAACGCAATACCCATTAAATTACCAGCAGCATTCTTTTGAGAACTGGAAATGAAGACAGAAATTCATATGGAAACAAAAACAAGGACAAATCGCCAAGAACAATCCTCAGTAAAAAAAACAAAGTGGGAAACATCACATTCTCAGACTTCAAACTTTATTATAAAGCTACAATAATCAAAACAGCCTGGTATTGGTATAAGAACAAGCAAATAGACCAATGAAACAGGAAAGAGATTCCAGAAGCAAAACCTCAATTTCTTAATGAACTCTTCTTCAACAGAGCTTCCACCATCGACCACTGGGGAGAGGAGAACCTATTCAGTAAATGGTACTGGGAATACTGGTTGCCCACATGCAGAAGATTAAAACAAGACCCCTACCTATCACCATACACACAAATAAATTCTAAATGAATCAAGGACCTACACGTAAAATCTCAAACTATAAAAACCTTAGAAAATGGAGAAGACACTCTTATGGAAATTGGAACTGACAACCAATTCCTGATCAAAACTCCAAGTACCCATGCCATAAGAGATAAGATAGACAAGTGGGACTTTATCAAACTGACAAGCTTCTGCAAAGTCAAAGAAATCATCAAGAGAGTAGAGAGACAGCCCACAGACTGGGAAGAAATATTTGCTAACTGTATATTTGACAAAGGCCTAACATCTAGGCTCTACAAGGAACTGAAACATGCCAAAAAGAAAAAAACAAACAGCCCCATTACAAAGTGGGCAAAAAATTTGAATAGACACTTGTCAAAAGAAGACATATAAGCAGATAACAGATACATGAAAAAATGCTCAGTCTCACTAGTCATCAAAGAAATCAAATTAAAACCACATTGAGATACCACCTAACTTCAGTCAGGATGGCCATCAACAGTAACTCAAAAAACAACAGATGCTGGAGAGAATGTGGCGAAAAGAGAACACTTCTACACTATTGGTGGGAGTGTAAACAAGTACAACCTCTGTGAAAAACAGTTTGGTGATTCCTAAAGATCTAAAAATCAGTCTTCCATACGACCCCACAATCTCTCTACTAGGAATATACCCGGAGGAACTCAAATCCCTCTATGAAAAAGATATCTGCACATACATGTTTATTGCAGTATTATTCACAAAAGCAAAAACATGGAACCAACTGTGCTGCCCATTGAAAGAGGACTGGATAAAAAAAATTGTGGCACATGTACATGATGGAATATTATGCAGCCGTAAAGGACAAAATTATGAACTTCACAACTTGGATACACTTAGAGTCTATAACACTGAGTGATCTATGACAGAAACAAAAAATTGAGTATCACATGTTCTCACTCATAAGTGGACCTTGAACAATTATCATAATACTATAAGAAAGGGATTGGCAGTAGTGGGAAACTGCTGGGGGTGGGGAAGCACACCACATCAACAAGGGTACCTGCATAATGAACATTTGTATACCTAACCCTGAACTGTACTCCACATCTTTAAAAATTAAAAAAAAAAGTTTCTTCCTGAAGGACACGGAGGGAGCCAGGGGGGCACATGTGGCTTCAAACACGATGCTGATCTTCTTCTTCTTCAACTAAGTAACTGGGATGGAAGAGAAAAAAAAAACCTACAAGACTGTCCATGGATCTTTGTTTTATCTTGCTCCTTCACACTGCACAGATAGATATTTTATCCATTTTTATATCTACTCAATACTGATAAAAAGTAACAACAACAACAAAAGAGACAGATGAAAAAACAGGAGGATAGACAGGTGATGTCCTGACTATTCTTTCTTTCTCCTCTGCCACCAAGAAGTTCAGAGTCAAGAATGGGGCTTATCCTGAGCCACACGGAACCCTAGAACCTGCACTCCTAGGTTCTAACTTTTCCCTGGTCTTGACCATATCTTCTGATTGGCATTTTCCTGGGGGATAGACTAGTGATTTTTACTCCCACTTTTCTCTTGTAGGAATGTGTTCTCAAGGACTGTCTCAGAAGCTCCAGAAAATAAACACACAAACAAGCAAGCAAAGAAAGTGTGAGCGGGGGTGAGGGACACTGGCAGCACATACCTGCAGCAGCAACAGCTGTGCTGGCCTCTCAGGAATGGAAGTCATGAACTCCAGGTGTTTGGCCCGGTCAAACCCACTGGTGCACAAGGTAGGGCGGAGCAGATGCACGACAGCCTTGTAGTCACCTACTTCATACAGTCGCTGAATCTCCTCCAGGGACTGGCACCGCTCCAGAGATTTCAGGTTCTTTTCAATCTGAAAAAGGTCCAAAAATGCTGTCTGAAGGCAAATCCCTTACACCCTCTCTGAATCTGGCCAGCATTTGCATTTATCAGACCCAGATGAGAATGAGGAAGATCAAAACTACTCCACCTACTCTATCAGTGTTTATATTAAATGCATGTGATTTATTTATTTGTTTTATTTTTGAGACCAGGTCTCACTATGTTGCCTAGGCTGTCATCAGACTCCTGGGCTCAAGCAAACCACCCACCTCAACATACCAAGAAGCTGAGATGAGAGGCATGTACCACCACACCTAACTAAATGTGTGTGTGTGTGTGCGTGTGTGTGTGTAAATATATATATACAGTTTTTTTCCCCCCAGTATTTCTATTAAGGTCAAGGCATTCACTTCTTTAAAAAACAAACACCAAAAAACAAAAACTGACCTAGAAGCAGAGGGATTCCAGAAAAGCATCTGCCAAGATAGATGGACAACCACCTGGTCACAGTGCAATGAACCAGATTTGCAGAACTACAGAGCTCCAGGCTGTCAGAGACTCAGCAGGTCTGAGCCAGAGGTTGACACACATCATGGACGATCACACAGGGCTTAGCATAACCCCAATACACAGGCATCAGGGAACTATACCCAGACTTGCCCTGAAACCACTCAGCAAAAGTCTAAAGGCCATTTCCACCCAATGTGGACATGTCACAGGCATGGAGCTGCAGTGGAGTCTGAGACTACACAATGAGAAAAGTACCACCCAAGAAGAACCTGGCATATTTACCACATGCTGCTGATCCAGCCTCATGATCAGCCCACGGGTCTGCTTTAGCTGATATTTCCTTCTATTCCCGCTGGAGTGGCTGCAACATGTAGCCAGAAGAGCTGAGCAATAACTATTTCTAAATCTTGCTTGTAGGAACTTCTACACCTGCTGCTTGAATGAGCTATTCATCAAGGATCTGCAGTGCCCTAGTGTGCTAGGGTGGCCTCCCCCAGACCTCTCCTGCCCTCCCTCCAGAGGCCCTGCTCAGCATGTGGGTGGCTCTCTCGTTCCTGAGACAGGTCAGGCCTGGACTAACTGGGCCAAATTAGAATACGTCTTTGACCAAGAAAACACCATTAGAAAACACCATTAGAAATATTAGAAATATTCCCACTTACCTCCTCCAGGGAAACAATGGAGTCATTGTGGAGGTTGGGCAGCCGGATGACAATGTCTCTTTGCTCAGCCCCTGCCCCTGCCTGGACGGCAGTAGAGCTCTGGAGCATTTCCGTGCAGATGTCATAGTTCTCCAGGGCCTGCTCCATGTCTCCCTGGTCAGAAGGAAAACAAGGTCAAAAGAAGGGGAAAAGGCTAACTGTGCTGTGTCAGGTGCCTTACATCCTAGAGCTCACTAGATGTGGATGCCATGAGGGTGTTTTTTATCCAATTACTGCTATACCCCCTAAACAAGACTTGGCATATAGCTGGGGCTCTATATATTTACTAAATGAGTGATAATCAAACCACAACTCTGTGAGGGAAGGTATCATTAACCCCATTTACAGATGAGGACACTGAGGACACTTGTGCAAGGCTGGGTATCTGGCAGAGGCAGGCTTACGACCTAGGCCTGTCCTAATTCCAAGACTGATATTCACATCAGTGTTGCTACCCTCTTATCAAATGGCTGCTAATAGGACTCTGGCAACCTCTGCCTCGTTCTACCACATGTATCAGGTACCACCATGTACAAGGTGCTGGGTAATAGTCAATCCACTCCAGCCTTCCAGACTGGTCTCTGAAGAGAAGAAGTATTCCCAGAACTCTTGCAAAGCTGGTAGATAATTCCCTTCTAGAAAGCTCTGCATCCATTCAAGTACGCACTCAGACTCTCTCAGGAAAACATAAGCAAAAGGTCAAGAAAGAAGGCAATCTTGAGCAGGGGTCAGAGAGAGCCTTTCCAGAGTTCAGTGGTTATATTGAGGAGTTTTACAGATGGGTGGTCATGTCTGGATTTCCGAGACACTGAATATTCTCCGCCAACTCTCCACTTCCTCATGCCAAGTTCAGTGCTGGGGCAGGTACTGGGCATGCACATGAGCACGCGCGCGCGTGCGCGCGCACACACACACACACACACACACACACACACACACACACACACACATTCACACACACATTCTCAACATGGTCAGTTTTTTGCCTTTCCTGCCGGGTACCAGGGCATGTTCCCCAAGCAGCTGACCTAACCTGCAGAGCCAGGAAGCGAGCCTTCAGCCAGTAAACACGAACCACAAACTCCAGCCAGCCATCCTCAAATAAGTCACGCTGGGATGAAGCAAATGACAGCTGTAGGAGGTCACCCAAGCAGTGGGTCCCTGGGAAGTCGGGCCCAAATCTGCCATTCACCACACCAGCAGGGCTGTTCCGAGGAGACACTGAAAAGCATCAGGACCCAAGTTAACTTCATGAGTAGCATTCAGATGCTCTTCTGCTCCCCGCAAATTGCCCTCAGCCCTCACTACACCCACCCTGTCTCCAGGGATACCCTGGGTCCCTTGAAGCCTTAGAGTGGCAGGTAACAGAGAGGTCAAACCAGTTAGAGATGCCAAGACTCTAAGAGTAGGAGGTAGGAAGAAATTTTATAGACTGAATTTTGAGCATATCTACATTTCACCAAGTGGTAGTGGAAAAATTATTGGGGACACATAAAGCATCAAATGGTCACATCAAAACTGAGATCCTGTTTCCTTCAATCCCAAGCAACAGCAAAAGCAGGCAGTTGGCTCCCTCTGGGGGTTCAGCTGCTGTTAACCATTTCTTGAATGTCCAGGAGATTTCTCTGGCACCCTAACAAGCCAACCCAGAAAATGTGCCTACTGCAGACGTGTAAGTCTGAATTCCATGACTCAGCTGTGCCCCCTGTTCAGCTTTCTCCTGGCTGCTGGGAGTTCAGGAATCAGCACTGCCACAGAAAACAATGCCTCCTACCTGCAGAGCTTCTGCCTCTAGTCAGCAGCCACTGATCCAGCTGGAGCTCCATGCAAGAGAGAGACATGAGCATCATGTCCTGCAGGAAAGGCACAGGAAGGTCAAAAACAATGTCACAAAGACTCGTCAGAGTGTAGAGGGTAGGAGGAAGCCAAACTACAATTTACTTTTTTTTTGAGTCGTAGTCTCACTCTGTCACCCAGGCTGGAGTACAGTTTCATGCTCATGACCACTGTAACCTCAACCTGCTGGGCTCAAACAATCCTTCTGCCTCAGTCTTCCAAGTAACTGAAACTACAGGTTTCAGTTCATTTCTTAATTTATTATAGAATCAAGGTCTCACCAAGTTGCCCTGGTGGTCTCGAACCCGTGGGCTCAGGGAATCTCCTGGCCTCCACCTCCCAAATTGCTGGGATTACAGGCACTGGTGCCTGGCCTAAAATTTACTTTTTGATAAAAATATAATTATCTCAAGTCTGTGTGTGTGTATATATATATTTCTCTATCTACTTTCCATTTCAATTTAAAAAAAAAATTTTTTGAGAGACAAGGTTGCACTCTGTCACTCAGACTGGAGTGCAATGGCACAATCATAGCTCACTGTAGCCTTGAGCTCCTGGACTCGTGTGATCCTCCCACTCTAGCCTCTTGAGTAGTAGCTAGGACTGCAGGTATGTGCCACCACACCTGGCTCTTTTTCATTTTTTTGTAGAGACAGGGTCTGGCTGTGTGACACAGGCTGGGCCTACTTTTCATTTCATAAGAGATAATCGATGGCTACTTGCCTGAACATAAAAAGAGGCACATAGATCTAGGTTGGGACAATATTCAGGAGGGGCTGGAAAACCTGTCTTCAGAGTCCTGAGATAGTGTCCTGTAGAAGAGGCAGCCCCATCACCTGCCAAGTGCCAGACCAGATGCTGCATCCAAACTATAGCTCTCAACCTTTAAAAGTGCCTGGAGGATGGCGCACCATTCCCAGAGCACTCGAGTAAGCTGAGGCTCTGCAGTAAGGAGGCACTTGCCCAGCAGGCACAGCTTAGAAATGATCAGCCTGGTATGCCTGGAAACCAAACCCTTGACGACTCCTGTTCCACAATTGCCCCCGGGAAGGGGGAGGCTTAGTAGGCAGAAGTTGCCAAAAGGTAGTCTCTGAGGTATCTGAGTAGACGGTGCCTAACAAAGGACCACTGACCCCATAAGCTCCTCTACCTTCTATGCCCTCAGTCAGAAAGACCACTGTGCTCCTGCCTTAACATTCAGTGTTGCCCCTCCAATACGAGTAGGGGGCCGGAACACCCTGTGTTCCCTTGAGCTTCAATAGTTATCCAGTGGAGGAGCCTGGAGCGTGGAGTGCAGCAGGCAGACCAAACTGAGGAAGGCTTAGTCCCCAACTGCTGGAGGCCCCCACTACTCCGCTAAGAGCCTACCTAGCTTCTATATTTCTGTTTTTTCACTTGGTCACAGTCCTGGCACTTCAAACACACCAGATGCTTCCCTTTTCCCCAAGCCTTTCCTGGTGAGCTCTCCTCCATCTCAGTCATTGACCCAAAAAGCCTCCCCATGACTCTTTTCCCTCATATCCCTTGTCTAGTTCATCCTACCAGCTCTGCCTCCAGAATCCCCTACCCCAGTACCACCATGAATCTCAGCTACCACCACCACTCAGGTGGCAGCAGCCTCTTGACAGCCCCCCCATGCCCACTCACTTGAGTGTATCCTCCATTCAGCTACCAGGGATCTTTCTGGGCACACACCAGGTCCCATGACTTCCTACTTAAAGCCCCGCAGTAGCCCAGTGTCCAGGACCACAAGTAGACACAGCCAAGGGGGCTGAGCACAACAGCAGCACCATACCTCTGACGGTCCCTGTCCCTGTTCACTAGACCCAGTCCAATGCCGGCCCTTGAGAGGCCCCAACCTTGATGTGCTTGTTGCTGCAGTCCCTCAGCAGTGGGTTGGGCAGGCTGGTGCTGTGCCTCCGCCAGCTGTGGTAGACACTGAGCACGACCTCTGCCAGGCCCGGCGGCCACTTGAGCAAGAACTTGTGGCCCATGCCCTTCAGGTAGCGCATCATCAGCTCCAGGATGCCACCGTTGGTCAAGTTCTCCAGCAGGAACTCATGCACATCCTGCTTCTCTGCCCGGGGAATAAGGACAATCGGATTTGAATGAAGAGGATCTTCCATCCCATGGTTTCCTATTCTCTTTGGGAGGGGAGAACCTGTGCCCTCCCTCCATCACCTGATCCAGGTAGACACGATACCACATTGTGGTGCTGAGATCAGGCTGCTGAGGTACATGTCTAGCTCTAGCCCTTACAACTGTGAGCAAACCTGTCTGAATCTCCACCTCTAAATGGATATCAAAAGGGTCCACCTCCAGCTGCTGCCATGTACACTGATCTCACTCAATAGTTGTGCTCAGATACATCCAATTTGCAAAGCCAAGCCTCTGAATTCAGCCTTAAGGAAACACAGCAAGCATGAGCCTGGACATTTTAGCAGTCCTTATGGCAGACCACAGGGCTCAGGCCTAAGACTAATCCAGGCAGTCCCTTGACCACACTTAGAAAAACACCCCAGAACCATTCTCCTAGAACAAAACATAAGCAGGTTATAGATACTGAGAGGGAAAATTTCCAATAGGAAATGATCACAGTGTTCAACTCCTACCAGATTCCATGAATGTGGCTGAGTCAAATGACAGTCTATGAGGTCCCATACTTGGAAAGGTTTCCATTTTAGCTTCTGACTGGATTTCGTAGTTATTAAAGGAATCTTCCTCCTCCTCAGGGTCCAGCTTTCTTAACCTGCACAGATCATGCAAAATCACAAAGTCACACCACACATTCTGACACAGCATCTGAATTCTTCCTAACAGAGAAATTAAATCTGAACCAGGAAGAAGGTTAAAATGAGTGGGGTGAGAGCCCAGGCCTGCAGGAGGTGCTGCCTCTCTCCAGGGGTTTGTGAGCTGGCATCTGGTCTATAACCTCACTTGTTCAGTCATTCCATCAACAGATGATTACTGAGTGCCAGCCACATACCAGGCACTGTGCTGGGCATCAGATTCAGCAGCCAGGAGTGTGGCAGACCCTGCCTGGAGTAAGCTTATCTGCTAAAGAAGGAGATGGCAATAAACAGGTGCACAAAACAATCCAAATATGAATCAACTGTGACATAGTACTTGAGACTGAGGGTTACAAGGGCCCTGCTTTAGAAAGTAAGGTCAGTGAAAGCCTTTCAGAGGGAATGATGTTCATGCTAACACCAAAAGAGGAGAAGAGCTGGCCATGCAAAGAAGTAGGACAAGAGCAGGTCCAAAAGCAGTAAGCCAGAGAGCACCTGGTGTGTTCTAGGACCTCAGGGAACCCATCAAGCAAGGAGAAAGGGAGTGGGTAGCTGGGAGTATAGGGAATATGAGGCCTACCTGGACTTGGTCCCACAAAGCCGCGGGCCCAGCCTATCCTTGTGAATGCAGAGGCCTCTCCTAATAGGTACCATCCTTTCAAACTCCGTCCAAGGACTACATTTTGGCCACCCTAGTGGCATCCCCTTAACCCAGCTTTCCAAGGCATAAGCACTCAGGGTACATGGAATGTCTTCATTCAAATACTATACTCACTCCATCAAGCAAGCTATCATGTTGTTCTTGCCTGACCATTCAAAGAATCAGATACTAAAACCACACAGGAAACCAACAACTAAAATAAAGATAAGAAAGTAGAACCCATTCTACATAAAGGGGGCTAGGGAACAAGATCCTGGGATAGGAAAGCAGGGCTAAGGGGAAGATGGGGTCACTCAGGCCGCTTGGAGTTGTCAATCAAAGCACAGTACTGTAGCTCTTTCTGTTTTTTTTTTTTTTTTAATGCTTTTATCTTCCTTGTTTTATTTGCATGTTTTGAGGAAAAAAATACATTTTACTGTGGTAATTGAGATACTATGTATCATTGTTCCGAGTATTTTGTTAAGGATCTTTTTTTTGGTCAGAGTATCAGTCTGTCATCCAGGTTGGAGTGCAGTGGCAACCATACCTGAACAATTTTTTCATTTATTGTAGAGATGAGGTCTTGCCAAATTGCCTAGGCTGTTCTTGAACCCATGGGCTCTGGCAATCCCTTACCTCGGGCTCCCAAAGTGCTGGGATTACAGGCTTGAGTCACCATGCCTGGTCAAGGATCTTTTTTTTTTTTAGTTGGCATAACCTTTAGCCCAAGATAACTTAATTCCTTGCTATTCCACATACATGCTTTGTACTTTCTCTTTGCTGCTTCTTTTTCTGTTTTCCATCACTGAAACCACTGGAATTTCTCCTCTCATTTAAAAAAAATGTCTCTAGGGCCAGTTGCGGTGGCTCAAGCCTATAATCCTAGCACTTTGGGAGGCCAAGGCAGAGTTTGGCCTGAGCTCAGGGGTTTGAGCTCAGCCCAGGCATCTTGGTGATACCTTGTCTCTACAATAAATCAAAAATAAACCAAACCTGGTAGCGCACACCTGTAGTTCCAGCTACTTGGAGGCTAAGGAGTAAGGATCGCCTGAGCACAGCAGGTCGAGGCTGCGGTGGTCATGAGTGTGCCACTGTACTCCAGCCTGGGTGACAGAGTGAGACACCAACTAAAAAAAAAAAAAAAAAAAAATTTCTACCGGGCACAGTAGCTCATGCCTATAATCCCAGCACTTTGGAAGGCTGAGATGAGAGGACTGCCTGAGCCTATGGGTTCAAGACAAGCCTGGGCAACTTGGTGAGACCTCATCTCTACAATAAATCAAAAATTTAGCTGGGCGTGGTGGTGCGTGCCGGTAATTCCAACTGGAAGGCTGAGGCGGAAGGATCACCTGAGCCCAGCACTGAGACAGACTGAGACTCTAACTCAAAAAAAAAAAAAAAAAATCTCTAAATCCTTCCTTCAAGTTTCATAAAAGCACAATATTGCATACTTCTTAAAGCATATATGCCCGCAGCTCTTTCAAAGGGACATCTCCTGGTACTATGCCTTAGGAGAAATTCATCATTTTGGTCTTGCATCAAATACTTTCTGAGAATTATCGCAATTTCTAAGCATTTCGCCTTCAGCACAGAGACAGAAAGATAACAAATTAAGAAAATTAGGAATCTTGTTGCAAAACAAATTTACAATCCACCTTCTGGTTTCATCTTCTGGCCTCTCCTTCTCCACTTCAATTCATGGCCACTGAAATAATCTGTCATGAAACAAAACAACAACTAAAGACTATTGGCTAAAGATGGTATATTGAACACATGTGGTCACCTCCCAGACTCCACTCCAGTAACTAAAAAGGAAACAAAGGTATATATACAGAAAGATGAAGGAGATTGGAGTGGAAGCCCCAGCAGACAAAAAAATGTGCCAATAAAATATTAGAAGGCTGACAGATGACGGCCTGGTGCAAATGAATTGCTTTTTCCATTCAGCTAAGAGCAGAGGAATGGGTATATCAAGAAAGCCCACCTACCAGTACTATAAATGCCAGGAAGGTTCAGGAATTGAGGACCCTAAAGCCTCCGAAGGAGGTGAAAAAGCAAGGACAAAAAGGAGGAGAACTAGTGAAAACCTATGTAGATCAGCACTGGATCCAAGGTCCTTCCCAACTCTGGGGAGACTGGCACCTTCTTCTCCCTAGGCGCTTCTGAAGAATACTAAGAACCAGCAAAACCAAGAAAAACTTCACAAACTCCTCCTCCACCTCCTCAGCATGAAATGGAAACTGCTGAGCCCAGAGCCAATCAAGCAAACACACATGCCCCAAAAGCAGAAGGGAAGTTCCCTTCTGGGAGTGTTCACAGCATCTACACCAAAGCACAGCAGCCCCCTTGCCTTCCAGCAAGTAGGCATCTGGGAGTTCATGGGAATGTGTGTGTTGCCTCTAGCACCCAAAAGATGAGCAAATCATAGCTCCTGACTTCAGAAAGTTCAGAAGCAGAAAGAGATGAGAATGACTCAAGATCCCAATCCAGAGAGATCTATGCTTCAGTTATCTACACAGATGTTAGCAGAACACAAAGGAGGTGCCTAGAGAAGAGGGTGGCAATGGAATGAGAAATGGTGGGGTAGGCTGGCAGCTTGTGAGTTTGTTTTTGCCAATCAGAAAAAGTGTGCACAGTACCTGGATGGCAAAAACTTCATCAGAAGCTCCTGGAAGTCTACTTTCTCTTCTTTTTTGCACTTGGTGTTTCGCACGCGGGCAGACCGCCGCTTTGCTGTCTCTCCATTCTCTTCTGAAATCTTCTTCCGCTTTACTCCTTTCTTGGATTTATCTCCTCCAGAAATATCACCTTCACAAAGAGTACAAATTAAAATATTACAAGATGGCAAGGGTGAAAAAAATGCACCACACAGACACATCAATCCCCCTATTTTATAACTCTACCAACATTACACTCTTTGACATTCAAGAAATTTTTCTTCTTAATAACAAAAAGTTCTGAGCTAAATTAATTTTAAATCCCTTAGCTCTCACACCTTTCTTAAATTCTAGCTAGATTTCAAAACTACTTTCCACAGCTATAAAGCAGCAGGGTTTTAGAACATCCCTATCCTCCCACCCCACCCACTGGTTGGCTGAACTCCCATGGTCTCAGTTAACCATATTACGGATGGACGCAGTGAGTGGCACTGATCCTACACAGGACCCTCTGAGCAACAGAATGGTGTGAATTTTATAGACAGTAGCTATATGTCTATAAAATATGTCATGTATGATTAAGAAAAGAGTTAGAAACAACCATGTACTTGTTCATTCAGAAGCTTCTTTAACTAACAGATATTCTTTCTTCAGTGACAGAAATCAAGGAAAGACTTGAGAGCTTTGTCAAAAATGCTTTACAATTTCAATGAAAATAAAAATCAATAAAACAGTATAAAAATAGTCTACCACATATGGTGATGACTTTACTGACTTTATTTTCTAAGGTCAAAGAACTCAGAATGCACATGGCCAGCAAGAGAGCAGGACCAGCAGAGGAGACCTGCCAGCTCCCACACAGCAAGCGGTAAGAGCCAGTACTTAGCAGCTGAGCATCAAATGGCCCCAGGGGGACTGTCACAGGGCAAGGAGGCACATACCAGAGTCCCCTCCTCCTCCCTACAGGGCTTCAATGCTGACATGGTCCTGATGAGCAGGAGCCCTGTGAACAGGCTCAGGGGCTCCTCTAAAGGCGAGGAGGTACTCTCACTTTCACTTGGACCATGAGGATCAACATGACCCTACTTTCTGGAGATCCCAGGGTTCCCCAATACTCTCATTCCTGCTGGGCTCAACAAATGGGGTCTCCCAGCAGCTGACCCCAGGGGGCCTGCTCACCCACAGAAGCACCTGTTTCCAACAGGCTGGGGCTGTGCAGTGGGAAGCTGGTTGTAGACACAGAGGCGTAGGAGAGCACGGGCTCGGCCACAGCCACAGCTGGATTGGTGCTGACAGTGCTTTGGTGGGTAACGCTGACTGGTGTCACCACCATAGAGGACACAAGAGGCTGGCTGGGATCCTGGTAGTCAGACAAGTCGATCCTCTTGCCGAGGCTGGGCCGTGGGGGCTCACAGGTGGTGAGGTGGTTGTACATGGCCAGCAAGCTCTCTCCAAGGCATTTCCAGCTGCAGGGAGAGGACCACCGACCTGGTCAGCATCTGTCACAGGGGCACTATGAGAACAGGGTCAAATGGCCTACAGAGCGGCAGCAGAGCTGCTCCTGTAGCTGCCACCTCTGGGGGTTGGGGAAGGTGGTCAAGGATCTGTCATTGTCATAACTGACAAAAAAACTTGAGTCTGACACAGCTGAACTAAATGTGAAGCAGCTTGAGCGGATGCAGAAGCCTGGCACCCACCCACTCCTCACTACGGCAGAAGGCCCAGAAGCATCTTGGCCTAAGACACTTTCAGACTCAACTAGGCAAGTATGAAAACCAGGATCACTTCAAAAACTCCTTCCCCTGAAGGATAAATCTATAAAACACCTGTGGAATTTCCCTGCTGCCAATAATCTGGGTTTTTTTTGGGGGGGAGGGGTGGGGGGGGAATGTCAACAAGGATGTGGTCAAAAAGGGCTTAATTAACAAGCCCTTGGGCAGGGTCTGCTGGGAGCAGCATCTCAAGGCCCAGTGGATGGCAACATAAGACTACTGTGTTTTGTTTTGTTGTAGTATGGTGTGGCGTGTTATGCTGTGTGCTATTATTGTTTTGAATTTCATGTTCTGGGCTGTGTACTATGTTGTATATCATCTATTATACAGTGTGGCATAGCATGATATATCATCCCTTAATGGCTTCCCATGCCTCAGGATCAAGACCAATGCTCAGCCTGGCCCCACGGTGCTGCACAGCCTCATCCCACACCACCCCCTACACTTCTACCATATAGGCTTTCTTTCAGTTCCTCAAACAAAATCATACTCCTGTATCCCACAGGACCTTTAGGTAGGCAGCCCTCACTCCCCACCCATGGCCCAGGCCCAGCCCTCTGACTGGCCAATGCCTATGCCTCCAGTAGACTCTAGCTCTAGTACTTAAGCCTTTCCCAATCCCCGGAGCAGTATGGATCCTGTTCAGAGCCCCCCAGCACTGAGCTTCTCTTTTAGCAGAGTCTACCAACTTGAGCCCTGCGCTTCTTCCTCTGGGTGGCTGACCCATCCCTGGGATTGCCTCCAGCAAGAAACCAGGCCATGCCACACTGCATCCCCAGCACAGAGCACATCGCTAGGCACAGAGCTGGCATCCAGGAAGTGTTGAGACAGGAATAAAAAGTGCTTCAAAATCTATAATCTGAACAATGGAGCCTCCCAGGACATTTTCCTGCCTTCGGTTAGTACTAAATTTAGACGGGGAAGAATTTGCTCACCAGCTAGGTAGTGTCAAAGGCCTTAAATACAACATTTAACTCACTCGTGCCTTGCTCTTACTCATGCCTACTAGGCACTGAAGAGACTGGGGGACAGTAAACTATGCCCTGTAGTCTGTTTAGTACAGCCCACAAGCTAAGAATGGTTTTCACATTTTTATTTATTTATTTGAGTCAGAGTCACACTCTGTCACCTAGCCTGGAGTGCGGTGGCACACTCATGGCCACCGCAGCCTTGACCCACTGGGCTCAGGTGATCCTTCCACCTCAGCCTTCCAAGTAGCTGGAATCACAGGTGTGTACCATCACACCCAGCTAATTTTTGATTTATTGTAGAGATGAGGTCTCGCCAAGATGCCCAGGCTGGTCTCGAACCCCTGGGTTCAGGTAATCCTCTTGCCTCATCCTCCCAAAGTGCTGGGATTACAGGTATGAACCACTGCACCTGGCCAGTTTTCACATTTTTAAAGGGTGTTAGGGAAAAAAAAAAAGAATAGGCCAGGCTCGGTTGCTCAGCCTGTAATTCCGGCACTTTGGGAGGCCGAGGTGAGTAGATTGCCTGAGCCTGCATGTTTGAGACCAGTCTGGGCAACTTGGCGATACCTCATCTCTACAATAAATAAAAAATTAAGCCAGTGTGCTAACATGCACCTGTAGTTCTAGCTACTTGGAAGGCTGAGGTGGAAGGATCACTGGAGCCCAGCAGGTTGACGCTGGGGTGACCATGAGTGTGCCACTGCACTCCAGCCTGGGCAACAGAGTGAGATGACAACTCAAAAAAAAAAAATTTATATATATAATGTATATATCTCCCATAAATACTTTATTATTTACTATCTGACTCTTTACATGAAAAGCGTACCCTATGGGACAGATGGCAGTTACTTTAAAAGCCCCATGTCCTCTGCTCCCAGAGAGAGAATCTTGTTTTAAAATCCCAGCCCCAAATTTAACTACCAAGCCTAACACCCTCCTGCTTCCATTTGGCCATCCCCCAGTGCATCTAGGATGGCTACAAAGCCAGTTCCCAGCCCTCTCTCCTCCAGTCACATCACCATAATCCCTTCTGATGTCCTCAGGTCTTTTCTTCCTTCACTGTAACAGGGCTCTCCAGGTCCCTTCCAAAACACTGACAGGATGGAGACTCTAACCCAGCTGATAAAATGAGAGGAAGGGTATCAGATGAGAGTCTCAGAGAAGCCTGAAGAGAAGCCTTATCTTCTGTCCATCTCAGTGCTTGGGTATGAAGGTATTCCTGGGGAATTCACGTGGAGAACTCACAACTGCCAGAACCAGCCCTTCTTGAATGGGTGCTATGTGCTATCTCTGTGCTAGCCCCTTCTAGTCCATTATCATAGTGACCCTATGAGAGAAATGTTGTTCTGCACTTTAGAAAGTGGCCTCAGTTCCCAGGGTCACCCAATTAACAACATTAGGAATGCCTAGGTCAGTGTGATGTAGGGCAGGAGCTCTAGACCACTGTGTGACAATGCCCTCAGAGTAAGCAGCGGGTGGGGAAGTGGAAATGGAACACTGCCGCCAAGGCATGCTAAGTTTAAAGATTCAGTGTCAGAATTTTAAATATATAAATGGAGAATGCCAGAGCTCACTAAAGGGCTAAGCTGTCCCAACTCCAGGACCACCAACACCAGTTTGCTCTTCCTGGAGGCAGAAGGCCTCACACATCACAGGGCTCAAGGGCTGTGCAAAGGCTCTGCTGAGGCCCATTTTGCAGGGCTCCTCCTGTGAGAAAAAGCACCTTTCTCCCTTGGAGAGAAAGCATGGTCTCAAGAGCCAGTTCCCTGGTGCTGACCCTGTGCTCCCCATTTAACTGCTCTGAGCTCTGGTTTCCTCCCTTTCTTAGCACATGTTAGTGTTCTTTTCCCTTCTAGGTACGGTAGGCTGAGAGGGGCCTTACAGGAAAGTGGCAGGTGGCTGGGGTCAATACGGTGACAGCAAAAAGGGACTCAGGGAGAGAGAGCTGATCTGCTTCTTAGTAGTTAACAATAAGTATACACCTCTAGCCCTCTGGCCATGCACCCAGCCCCATCCACATCACCAGCCCAGGATCAGGTCTTGGGTCTCTCTCATCTGTACAGGGCCGTGTCCCACATCTGGGCTTACCAGCTGACCCAGTATTACCAGAGATACCCAATGACCTACGTGAAGAAGGGAATGGGCTGCACCAGTTTCAAGTCTGGTTCCTTCTCCCGCACGATCAGCGCTTGCCTCTTCTTCCGCAGCCCCATGGCCTCGTCTATGATGGCCTGTGTCTCAGCTGCACTCACTGACACATCATGAACTGACATGTCACTAAAGGCATATAAGACAGGAAGAAATCACAGTATTACAAATTAGAGCCAAGGCTGAAGTTTTATAGACAGGGATGTGTTTAAATTAATACCCTTTCATATGTATTGATTCTTCCCACAAATAAAATAAGCACTCAAGTTTGGCCTGGGTAGGGCAGTAATTAGCATTTTTAATACCCACATAGAACTAGAAATGACTACTGTCCTTTGTTCCTTTGGCAATTCAAATTGGGCAGAGAAAATGTTTTCATATATATGAACAGTGTCATAGAAACATCTGAAAAGCCACAAAAAAATAAAATCTTTCTCTCAATTATTATTAGACAATGGAAATAGAACTTAACCATCCCATACTGTCCATCCCAACAAAAAGTCATCAGATAAGCAAAGCTCACCAGTCTTTGGTGACACCAAAATGCAGAAAGTGCAGGGTTTTGAAACCTCAGGTGCTTTCCCACAGACACACCACTGCCTAAGGTGACCCAGTAACACCTGCCCTCCTGCATAGACTGTCCTGATGCCTCCCAGCACCTCAGTCACTCACTTATAAACTTCTGTTTTATGTGTTTACCATTTATCTCCCTCAAGAAGGTTAGTTCCCTTAGGACAGACATTCCCTCAGTTCCTATCTCCTCAACAAGGCAGAAGAGGCAGACACTGAAATAAATAAGTACCCTACAGGTGAGTTCCAGGGACCAAGGAATACCAGAGGGCAGGGGGAGTTGGCTGGGCCAGAGGGCCAGAGGGAGGAGTAGCTAGAGCTCAGAAAGTGGCTGAAAGGTAATCTGGGAGTCAGAGCATGAAGGAAGTACAATGGTAGGACAGCTGGAGAAGTGAGAAGACAGCATGCCAGGTTAGGACACAGCAGGAATCAGGATGAGGATACAGGACAGTGCACAGTGGGACTAGGCTAAGAATCTGCCAGGAACTTAGGGTAGTTTTAACAAAGGAGCCTGGGAGGGAAAAGCAGGAGGTGAGGGGGTAGAAGTAGAGGTCAGGCTTCAAAGGATCTCTTGGGTGATACAACTGAGTGTGGGCTTGCTCTGGAGGCAAGGTAGGGATGCCACACAGAGGCATGTTTCAGACAAAACCCTGGAAAGAGGAAAGGTAGGAGGCAAGGAGGCAAGCTAGGCCACAGGTTGCCCAAGCATGCAGAAGAGAGCTAGGACACTGAGCTCTGGCAGGGCAGTAGGAAAGGAGAGCAGCAGCCTGAGAGGCCAACCAGAAATTAGGCAATGCAGAGTAAGTAACAGGCAGTCCAAGGTCAATTCATTAGATGAGGAACTGCAGCAGGGCATGAAGCCCCGAGCACAGAGAGTTCATCAGCTGGGAGGTCAGGACCTGAGAGAATAAGGTACACTCCTGACCTTCACCAGCTATGTGGTTTGAAGTGCAGGTATAGCACGGGAAGGGGCAGGGCATACCACTTGAGGAACATTCGGAGAGAGTCCTTCCGGAGACAAGGCTGCTCCTCAAAGATCTTCTCCTTGAGAACTAGCCCTTTGCTGTACCGGCAGTCCTTCTCCAAAGCTTTGCAGATGAAGTACAGACATGCTGGCAGAAAAAGAAATGGTTTATGACTTCTGAGACTGCACTCAGAAGCTCTGACATTGCCAGTTAACACAAGGAAAATGTTCCCACTCCTGAATCAAGAAAATGCCTAGTAAATGATAAAGAGACCATTTTAACCAATTTAATCAGGAAGATTTCTGAAAATAATAACCAGAATAGATGGGGGCACTGCAAGGTGAACAGACCAAATGCTACCGGCAGAGGGTAGACAGCACAACCTTTCTGGAGGACCACAGGCATTATACACAGACCCTGTACCCAGTGACCCCACTTCTAGGAATTGCTGCTAAAAAAAAGCTTCAGGCTCTCAGTGATTAGCTACTGGCTAACTAAAAAACAGCCTTCAAGAAAGCTGGAAACCACTCTGTCCACTGTGGGGGCCTGGTAAGTAAACCGTGGCTGATCCACACAAGGTGCTCCCAGCAGCCGCTGCACAGATGGTAGAGGAGTATGCCACTGATCAGGAAGAAGGCCATGATACGACACTAAGCAGAAGTAGGGAAAAAATAGGTCATATGACTCCATTTGTATACATAAAACTGACTTTTTAAATTTTTGCTTACCTGAATTTTCCAATTTTATTTTCTTTTAAAAAAATCTTTCTTAAAGTCATTGCCTACAATTTAAGACATGTCCATCATTCATGTGAATGTAATAATGAGCCTCCTCAAGTCATTAATCTGGAAAGACTGTGCCAATTCCAGGTCCTCTGGGAATGTAGACAGTAACAGATAAACTAATGCATGGAGAAAAATGGCATGGCATGGATTCAGAAAGCAGAACTACAGTATAAATTATAAATGCCTTTAACACTTATAAATGGGAACAATCCAGGTCTCACCAGTGAACACACAGGAGAAACGGCACAATCCACAGAGCACCAGCTCCACTCTGCCCAGACACTGGGATCACTATCATGCCCTGCTCAGCTTCTCTGTATGGTATAGAAGAATGGCAAGTTACTACTATCGAGAATAACCAAAGGCTGGGAGCGGTGGCTCAGGTCTGTAATTCCCCCACTGTGGGAGGCCAAGGTGGGAAGATCCCTTGCCTAAGCAACATAGGAAAATGTCATCTCTACCAAAAATAAGAAAAATTAGCCAGATAAGGTGGCATACACCTGCAGTTTCAGCTACTTGGAAGGCTGAGGTAGGAGGACTGCGTGAGCCCAGGAGTTCAGGGTTGCAGTGAGCTGTGATTGTGTCACTGCACTCAAGTCTGGGTGAAAGAGCGAGACCCTGTCTCTTAAAAATAGAATAACCAGAAAAAGAAACACCTAGGGGAGAGGAGCAACATGGGGAGGAAAGCCATAGCAGAAGAAGAGATCTGGGCATGGAATCGTCAGGAAAGAGGAAGGAAGTGATGTGCTCCTAGTATGCTTAAAGGGACAGAACTCAGCCTGGTTACAATGCTCAGCAGGGATCACACACCCCAAAGCACACAAAGGCTGTGCAGCCTGCAAGCAGGGCGAGGTGTGCACAGTTCCAGCATGTTCCAGCAAGCTGCAGACAGAACTGTTTTTGTTTTGTTTTGTTTTGTTTTTGAGTTGGAGTCTCACTCTGTCACCCAGACTGGAGTGCAGTGGCCGCTCCCAGTCACCGCAGCCTCAACCTGCTGGGCTCTGGCGATCCTTCCGCCTCAGTCTTCCAAGTGGCTGGAACTACAGGTGCGTGCTACCATGCCCGGCTAATTTTTGACTTAGTGTAGAGATGAGGTCTCGCCAAGTTGCAAAACTGTTGAGTTGATGGTCCCCAGATGCTGCCTCAGACACACAAGGGAAATGGTTTCTCTGGGACTACAGCAGGACCTGAAGGGTGGCCATCAGTGACTCCCAAGAGAAAACCCAGGAAGCACACTAAGCACTTGGATGATATCAGTTCTCAGTAGGCATATTAACTGCCATAAGCTAAGCTTACTAGTTACACTCCACAAACACACCTGCAGAAGGAAGGACCGGGAAACCTCAAGAGAATAAGAGGTGGTCAGCAGGCCTTAGCCCAACAGCATCTCTGTCTACTCACCTCAAACACATAAAATGCCACTGAGAGCCAATCTAACATGCTGCTTTTACTTTTTGGTTTAAACGAAGATAAAATCTAACAGGGCTCACAAGGAATATATGTATAAATTCAGACCCTTTTAGTCATTTTATGTGTCAATTTGAATGGGCCATGGGGTATCTAGATTTTGGCCAAACATTATTTTGGGATTTTTGTGAGGAAATCTTTGGATGAGATTAACATTTAACTCAGTAGACTGAGTAAAGCAGATTGCTCTCCCTAACATGGGTGAGCCTCATGCAATCAGTTGAAGGCCTGACTAGAACAAAAGGGGCTAATGTTCCCCCCAAGAAAGACAGAATATGCGCCTTCCTATCTTTGAACTGGGACGTTGGTTTTTTCCTACTTTCTCACTGGACCCAAAATGTCACCTCTTCCTGAGCCTGTCAGCCTTCAGACCAGAGCTACACTATTAGTTCTCCCAGTTCCAGGTCTCTGAACTCGAACTCGAACCATACCAGTGCTCTTCTGGGTTTGTGGCTTGATGACTCACCCTGTCCATCTTGGAACTTGTCAGCCTCCAAGAGTAAATGAGCAGATTCCTTACAATGAATCTCTTTTTACATATGTATATATATCCTAGTAGTTCTATTTCTCTGGCGAACCCTAATATAAACATTATTTTCCCCACAAGGACTTGAGTTTACCAAGCACAACTTCTACCTTGAGAGAAGTATACAAAGAACAAAGCAGTTGGCTGGGGAAGGAAGGCTGAACTCCAAAGACAGTACCCCAACTGTAGGAGGAACATCCAAGAAGAGACCCAGAGCCTCTGGAAGAAGAAACTGCTGCCCCACAGAACTGTTATATTCTGCTGGAGGGAATGAAGACAGAGACAACCAACAGAACAATTACATATGATGGGGGACCCAAAAAACCCCAGAATTTATTTATAAAAAATTGTGTACTTATTCTTACATGTTTAAACTTCATTACCTTCAGAGTACTCTCCATTTGATACACCTATCGAGACACTTTTTCCACTGCTTAAACATTTTTGAACTTGTCAGTGTTGATGCCTTTTAGTGCTTCTGCCGTTTTGTTTTACCTCTTCTACCTTTGCAAAATGTTACCCTTTACGGACTTGTTTCACCAAGTAAACAACAACAAAAATTGCTTGGAGTGATCAGGTGAATAGGGAGGGTGGGGCACATGGGTCATGTAGTTTCTGGTCAAAGACTCCTGAATGCTGAGCTCGGTGTGGGCAGGTTGTTCATGTAAATCGCCCATCATAAAATAGACAAGCATGTTGAAAGAATTCCCCCACCTCAAATTCACTGAAGCCAAATGCAGCCTCTCACAACAATGCTAGCTGGTACGCTGATGCCAATGGGTTCCTAGAACACTTACCTATTGGGAAAAGCCTGTACTACAAGGGGCCTGCCCTCCAAAAAATAATTCTACTTTTGGGTATCCCTTTGTATGTTCACTGAAGGATATATACAGGAATGTTCAGAACAACATTATGCCTAAGAGGCCAAATCCTGAAAATAACCCAAACTGTCCATGCACAGAATGGTTAAATTGTGTAGATAAAATAATAGACTACATAGCAATAAAAAAATACCTAACAATTGCTGTAACATAGACAGGTGTACTCCCAGACAGGATGACAAGTGGAGGAAGCCACGCTGAGAAGAGCACACGCCTTCTGACTCTACCTAAAGGAAGTTCAACAACAAGCAAGGTTCATCTCTAGTGACAAAAGTAATGACAGCTGCCTTAGGGGCGTAGTAATGAGTGAAAGGAACCCAAAGTAGCCTGCCTTCTGGAGATTGCAAATGTTCCATATCTTGATGTGTTTTCACACATGAACATTTACAGGTTTCAGATTTATGCGCTTTGTGTGTACATTTTGCCTCAAGTAAAAAGATTTGTAAAATGACTGTAAACTGGAGGTAGGAAGGGTAAGCAGGCCTCATCCTTCTCAACATACTCTATTCTGTTCCTATTTGTCTGTCTGTTTGTTTATTGATTTGGAGTCTCATTCTGTTTCCGCCTCAGTCATCCAAGTAGCTGTAACCACAGGCTGGCTAATTTTTTGATTTATTGTAGGTTGATCTTGAACTCCTGGACTCAGGCAATTCTCTCACCTCCGCCTCCTAAAGTGTTGGGATTGTAGGTGTGCCACTGTACTCCAGTCTGGGCAACAGAGTGAGACTCCAACTCAAAAAAAAAAAAAAAAAAGTTGACACTAGGATGAGTAAAGATTCTTGAGGCTATTTACGATGTCACCCAATCTACTGTATTTTTCTATGGCAACCCAAATACACTAAGACATAGAAGATGAGACGACGCAGGAATGAAACGAAATAGGCAAAGGGAAACACATTCAGAGAACATGTGTCTTATTACTACAAAGCATCTGATAAATCAAGAAAGATAAGCAGAATAAAGCAGGGATATAAAAACATTTTCGTTCCTTCTCTCCTCTGGCCCTCAAAACACTGGCACATGGGAGAAAGCATTAAAGCCTGACTCACTTGTATAATCGCTGAGTGTGTACAGGACAGTGATGAGGTTGTCCAAGCAGGGCCAGTGGTCAGGATTACAACGCAGCCCTTCCTCAAAAGCATGGCGAGCCAGGGGAATCCGGATGAGCCTCAGGGCCACATGCCCAATTTTATACCAAAGGTTGACATCCGTGGAGTCCAGCATCACTGCCTAGAATCAGCACAAGCAGAGGGGCACGCACACATACTCAATCAGATCCCTCGCTGAGCAGGCACCATGGAAACAAATGGGGCACAGCTCTAGCCTGGCCAAGCCACTCAAACTACCCAGGGAAAAGGCGAAAGTGACATAACTATCTTATAACTGACTAGCAAGACCAGCTTATCTTTCCTAGAGTCACACGCTTCCAAGAGCTAGAGTAATAACACATAACAAATTACATGGGCAAATTTAACTCAGAACATTTTCTTGATATATTTTGTCAATTTGAATATTTGCATTCCTTAAATACTTAAAAGGTAAAAGAAATGAAAAGAGTAGAAGAAAAAGAAAATATAGGAGTCCTGTGGGATTCAAGAAAGACTATGTGCTGTGAAGACAGATCTCAGTTCACATTCCTGCTCCAACTCTGATTAGCAGAATGGTGATCTTGAGCCTCCATTTCCTCATCACTAAGGTGAGGCTATAGACCCCTTCCTTGAAAGATAGTGTGAGGATTAAAGTGTGCATGGGAAGCAACAGCACTGTGTCTGGCGCATTAGAGATACCCACAGAGGCAGTGATGGTCACAGGAGATGACAGTAATTATCTCCTACTAATGACTTTTAGCGTATCAATGCTAGGTTTCAGGCTCTGTTCTTCATACTATCAACTATACCAGTTCATTCCATTTTCACAGCTATTCTTTTTCAATTACTCCCACTATATTGGTGTAGACCTGGAAGGCACCGAGAGATTAAATAACTCACTCAAGGCCACATGTGCAATGAGTAACACAGGGAGAATTCACACAGGCCTCTGCATCCAAGTGTGTCCCTCCCCACAGCCCCTGCTCTCTAGGTCTGGTCAATACTCACTGTTATCAGCCACAATTAGGTCCTTGGGCACTAGAGCTTGGTGATGTACCACTAGAAACTCTTATTTTTGGCTAACAAGTCCCCAACCTCATCCCCTCTACCAAGAACTTTCAAAACACTGAGGGAGCTAAACACTGCCAAAAATGTACCTCTAAGTAGAACTCCATGGCTGTCTCTAGATCCTCCCGCTGGGCTGCCAGTTGGGCCAGGTTCTTATATGTGGAATATTTCAGGATCAGCCCAGGGTGTTTCAACCCCTCTTTCTCATCACCATATGAAACTGCCTGTGAACAAAACAAACAGAAACAGAAGTAACACCTAGGCCCTAAAACCTCAGCAAGCAGTTAGCAGGCTACCTGGCTTCTGGACTGACCCCTGCTGCAGGACCTTTGAGTTAGTCCAATGCTGTCCCCTTTTGGAAAACAGAGGTACCGTGACAGGTGTTCTTAGAAGACCTCTCCTGCTCCAAATACACAAAGAAGGCAAGAGCACTATTAGGTAGTTTGCAGGTGGTCTGGGCATCAACAGAGACAGAGGAAAACCTCCCCACCAATACCACCACGCCTGAGGGATCAAGCCTGGAGGGTAACATTTATAGCACCTGGGCTAGCTGGTGGCTCCAGGTATGAAGATGGGAGACAGGTGTAAGTAGCTCCCTGGGAGCAGCAGGAAGGCCTGGAGCTTCATCCCGGCTTAGGAGTCAGAAAGCTGAGTTCACAACTCTGTAACTCATCACATGACCACAGACATGTTAATTTAACTAATAAGTTAGTATCTGATCTTTATAAGGACATAATTCCTACCCCCAATATTAAAAGTTTAAGTGAGCTGAAAGGGCATAAGAATTGCAAATGTGCTTAATATGAAAAGTTATTTCACAGCTTTTATGACAATTCTTAGGAAACCTTATATCTTCTAAGAAACTACTGATTAGAAAACTACTGCTCTCACCACAGGACAAAGAACAAAACATTTTCTAACAGAAAAAAACTCACTGAGACAAAGTAGCTCTTTCCTGGGACATGTGGCTTAAACACTACTGTTCATGCTCAGAAGAGGCAAGTCCCACGCTCAGAGGGCATCCCTTGAGTAATCCAAGAGTCTGTCTACTCTGGAGCTCTTAAGGAATTCCACCAAGAAGACTGAAAAGCTCAAATCAAGCCCCCTTCACTTATCTCCTACTGTTGTCTGGTTTATACTACAAAAAGGTCCCCAAGAACCAGCTGACCAGGGCTGGACCCCAGGTACTTTTGTCCTTCCAGGTACAGAACTCTTCAAAAAATAGTGTAAACAAATTTATAGAGGCTACAAGAGTCTATTTCAGACTAAACAGCAAAATGTGCACACAGAACAGTGGATGCTCTTAACTAACCATTTAACTAACCGCCCACATTCAGCACCCTCCCTGAAAGGCTTGCCCCAATGAGTCCCCCAGACTGGCTGGACACTTCTTAGGAGTCAGCAGTGCTCTAGGACCTGTTTACATCAACTGTCTGTGAAATGGTAATTATGTAATTTAGTTTAATACTAAGTACACCAATGCAATATGAATGTAAAAAAATGTTTTCTGTATATTTTCTGTACTTTTCAATTGCTTACATGTTTTACTCTTATAACCAAAGGGGCTACTAAAACAACCTTTTAAAGCTGAAAGGGATATACGGTATAGAGAAAGATGCACATATCACCAACACCTCACTAAGCTTTAGTTTCCACACCTGTAAAGTATGTGCTAGGCAGAGTGGTTGTGAAGATTAAGTACTAACACTAGCTGGCCCTTCCTGAGCATTTACTATGCACCAGGAACCATCCTACATGCTTCACTGAATTAATTTGGCCCTTGTAACTATTCAAAAAGGCTGAGACTCTACAGGTGAGGTGACAGGGACAGAGAGGTGACATAACATTTCCAAGGTTACCCAGGCAAGAACTGGGAGAGCAGGGGGAAGGCCAAGGTCGTCCAGCCTGGAGCCCCTGTGCTGACCCCTATGGCACATCACTGGCCACCCAGTGCCTCACCTCTCGCAGCAGGCGTGCCTCCAGGAGTTCATGGTAGGCTTTTGCAGACTCCTCAAACTGATCGTGTTTCTGCAGATCCAGGGCCTTGTGGTACAAGGCAAAAGCCTCTGCCTCCTGCAAACCAATACAGGAGATGTTTTCATGCAGCACAAAGGTTTGACGTTTTTTAAGCCAAAAATGTGTGTAAGGCAGACTGTAATTGAGAGGACAGAATCAAAATGGAGTTATTATATAAAAGGGCAGAATCAAAAGGGAGTTACTACAGTTATCCTAAATAAACCAAACAGAAACCTGGCTCAATTTCTCCAGGTACAACTGTGGCTCAACTTTCCCATGTGCTTGATTAATTACATTCCAACCACGGATCGCAAATCTTAACAAGAATAACCAATAAAGTTTTAAGAACATATAGAACCCAAGAACAACACCACACCCCCAGCTAAGTTTCGTTGTACCTTAGGTTCCATTGGTGAAAGAAAAGCTAATATTTGTGTTTTAAGAATTTCTTTTAAAGACCGTGGCCCAGTCTCCCTGTCTACATGAATTTCCCAAAACTCAGGAGTTCTGAAATGGTATTCACCATAGCAAGGACAACCCCCACACCTTCCCATTCCACTAGAATGCTCTTTGCAAAACAATCAACTCCCATTCCCAACTTCCTGGAAAAAAATCTTATAAGTCCAGGCCTCAAGCATTCAGGTGCCGACACTTTTCTTCAGAGGATTTCCTGAGTCCAGGAGTTCAAGACCAGCCTGGGCAACTTGGTGAGCCCTCATCTCTACAATTAAAAAAAAAATAGCCAGGCATGGTGGTGCGCATCTGTTGTTCCAGCTACTTGGAAGGCTGAGGCGGAAGGATCACCTGAGCCCAGCAGGTTAAGGCTGGGGTAGCCAAGATTGTACCACTGCACTCCAGCTCAAGCAACAGAGTGAGACTCCAACTCAAAAAAAAATGAAAAGAAATACCTGTATTTGTTCTTTGTCCCTGGTTTCTGACATATGCTTCTAAAATCCTTGGAAATTTGAGTGATGGGGTGACAGAAGCATCTTTCATTATTCATATCAAGCCCCTTTCAACCAGACTTGAGTTATGCTAACGAGGTAATAGGTGGCTAGGGTTCCCTAGATAGCAGGTTGGGGGCTGGATGCCAGATGAACAAACCACGTGATCAGACAGTTGGAACCATGTGATTAGACAGCTGGGACATCTCACAACCTCCTAGGAGGAAAAAGGGGCTGGAGATTGAGTTGATCACCCATTTAATCAGTCATGCCTATGTAATGGAACTGCCATAAAATTAAGAAAGCTTAAAAGGGCATGGAAGCTCTGTGCATCCCCCACCATAACTTGCCATAAACATGTCTTCCATTTGGCTATTCCTAAGATGTATCCTTTGCAATAAACTGATAAGTGTAAGTAAAGTGTTTTCCTGAGTTCTGTAAGCCACTCTAGCAAATTATTGAACCTAAAAGGGATGGAGGGTGAGATCCCAACTTTGAAGCACAGGTGGACAGAAGTGTAGGTATTCTAGCACTCAGTACATGCAACTGGCCTCTGAAATGAGAGTAGTCTGGTGGGACTGAGCTGTTAAATATAACACACTAGGGAACCTCAAAGCACCATCTACCACT